AAAACAGTCAGCCAACTCAGGAGGCTATTGTTTAAACAAACTCATAGAAAGTCAGGATCCCACTTTTGTTAGCAAATTATACACCATATGTAATATGCTAAAGTGGAAGACAAAAATAAAAAAAACCATCGTAACTGTTCTGCTATTGGGGATAGAATGCAAAGAATCAGCATCCCTTTTAGTGGTCTTTAGTCTTTTCCTCTAAAAATTTTCCATTCTGGTTGAACAGAACCAGCTACAAAGAAAAGTAGTATGTTTATAGTTCTTTATTTTCCCACACAATGAAGAAAAGAAAGTAGTATGTTGAATACTGAAATATGCCAGCATTAGTCCAAGAACTCTGATTACTGTGTTTTGTTTCAAGTGCTCTAAGCACCGTAAAGTAAAAATTCTGTTCCATTTTGCTTGCTGAGGAAGTTTTACATGACAAATTACCTATTTTTGAGAATATTCAAGATGTGCAAACAAGTTTATTGTCTTATCTCAATTAAAAAAGAGATTACATCCTGATACAGATGAAAACAACTGATGGTAAGAAGTCTGTAATGTCCTTTTTAAATGTTGCTGAATATTTAATGGTTAATTAATACTGCTGTAACCCCTTAGCATAACAACCATGGGCCAGATTCTACTCCATCAGTGCACATCCATAGTAAAAGGCAGTGACGTTATCCAGGGTTTCCACTGGTAACAGAGGACTAAATATGGCTCAAGCTCTTCAGGGAGGAGACTGTCTCAAAGGGTGTTTATTCAGTGTTAGCATGATAGGACCTCTGAATACTATTACAAAGTGGAAAAATCAGTAATTTCCTACCATTTGCTTTTATGAGCCATTGCAGTTTGCATTTTAAGTAGCCACTATTTTGTGACAGTTATTTTCATCTCGTCACACTCTAGCCACATACACACGCACATAGAGTTCCCAATCTATTTGCCATCCCATATCAACTGTATTCAAGATAAGCTATTATCCATTGCCTTACTCTCAAATTATTCAGCCACCCTTGTTCAGTGATTATCGCGGTGTGTCATCTCCAGATTGAAAGATCCAAAAGCTACAAAACCTGCTATTTGTGGCACTCCCCAAGAAAACAGAGATGCCTTGAAGAATATTCTTAAGTGATAGGTTTGCTGGCAAAATCAGACCTGCAGTAACAGCAATGCTCTGCTATTCAAGATACTAGCACAAGAGAGACAAACACATATGATGCCATTCCACAGGTGATGTAGTATAAATGGAGTGGACACACATTTACACACACAAAGTCTTACACCACACACTACTGTTAGAGATCTCTGAACTGCTGTGTTCTTCTTTGCTCTGTTTATGAAATCAGCCCAAGAAGTAATAGAATTTGTCATGCCTTTCCCCCCTTCCTCAGCAAAGCCTGCCCTTGGGAGATGAACACTTCCAACGGGGATGAGGAGGGCTGAGGCCCATGTTACCAAGACCGTCAGAGTGCCTAACAGACTACCAGTTCCAGATATTTTCTGCTTATAGATTGCTGATGTCCCCTAACGCATACTTTCACTGCTTTCTGTACTTTCCTTACCCCATTCATTTTTTTCCTTCTCTCTCTCCACTTCTTCCCTCACATTAATCTCCTATTTTCCCCATAACCGTAATCATATATGAAAGCAAACAACAAATATCATAGTCATGTTCATCATTGTCTCAATCTCTTTGACTTTAGGCCATACGCCTCCCAGTCCGGTTTTGATTCTTGAACCAGTAACTTTTCAGGATAAGGACTGAAGAACATTTGGAAGCCCATATCTCATGGCAGGTGAAGCTGCAATACATCTAACAGCAGTGATCACCTCGCAGAAAACGGTATACACTGAGAAGTTTCATGATTAGTTCTAACCATATTTAACATACATATTTGTTTCCATCTTCCAATGGAAAGTAAATCTTCGGGATGGACCCAAATGCAGAAGGGCGGAGAGCATAGCAAAGAAAGATGAGGAACGTATTTCAGCATGGCGACAAAACGGAAAACGTCATAGTAGGTGTCAGCATCAGAGAGGAACAAGGCTGCAAGACCATCGTCACAGTGGGAAGGGAACACCAAAATTAGACTTGAATGCTGGGAAAGAGCTATTAAGGAATTGTGGGAGGCATTAATATTGATGCAACTGATGGGAGGGGAGAATTCAGTGACAGGGGAGTTGTGGCCTTGGAGAATGCACAATATATTCCGAGTTATTTTGGGATACACTGGCCGTGAAAAGCCAACTCTGCATCAGGGGCAAGAGTCCGTGCCCAGGAATCTGCTTTGAGATGGGCACGCTTTGCAGTCAGATACAGGAGACGTTTTCTTTCTCCCTCTTAAAACAATTTCACACTCACCTGAGCCTGCTGTGAAATTTCTCGAGGTTGCAAAAGCCGCAAGAGCTCCCTCATGCCCCCCGCCCGCCGCCCTCCTCCCTCCGCTGCGCCGCG